CCTCGAACACGTGTCTCATCATTTTAGGTGTTCTATTTGTGGTAAAAATTTCGTTTTGATCGGCCTTATCATCTTCGAGATGTAGAAATGGCCAAAAAAGAGGGGGGATCCTTAAGGCTTGTTCTTTCAATCCTTCAAAAGAATAATCCAGTCAATTTCCAGAGTTTTCTATCACAATCTATAATCTTGCGTTGTTACATTGTCGGTGATGGTCAGCACGTGAAGGGAGTGAAGAGTGTAAAAGTCTTGTTGTATTAGTTTATGTCTCAAAATAGCCAACTTTTCCTGTTCTCTCCACTTATATCGTTTTGTACATTTTTTTTATCGTGTTTCAAAATAATTGTATTTTTCTAATGGTTGTTTAGTCATTTATCAAACAGTACTGAAGTTATACAAGTATCTACTGCTTCTATCAACAAAGCAAACACAGCTTCTTTTCCAACATCCAAAATGGCAATTCCTTCTACTAGACCTTATTCAATAGGTAATAAAATACTTTGTGTTTTTATATGGAATGCTGTGATTTTTTTTTCGCAGATGGTCATATTTCTTCAATTAGTGCATCTAGACAACTGGAAGCTAGCAAACATGAGGAAACAATAAAGTTATTGGAGCTTGAACGAACATCATTAGTTAAAGAATTAAATCATTTGCGTCAATTATATGACGAAGTGAAAAGTGATTCTATTATACAAAAACGTCAAATACAGTTATTGCGAGATTTTTATACCGAACAAAATGAAGTATCAAAACATGAACAAATTGAATATTTTACTCGTATTTTAAATTTAATTCAAGATCTTCCTGATTCAAATAGAAATAAAAATTTCAATAGACAAAATTCTTCATCTTTATCATTAGAAGAAATAAGAAATGATTTAGATCAACGAATAAATTCTGTTACAACTAATTATAAGTCATTATTAATGAAGGTTTCTAAAGACAAAGACAAGTCTATTTCAAATGATGTTTCTCTTCTTATATCAAAATTTCAAGACAAGTTTTCTCATTTATTCAATAATAATGGGAGTGATGAAATGACATTGACAACGGAAGATACAAATATAAATAATCCATTACTGAAAAATATTATTTCATTTCTTAATGATCTATACAAACAAATAAATAAAATTTTACATGATAAAATAGAACTTAGTGAACAACTAATTACCTTAGAAAAAAGACATCGTAACTATTCAAAAATACAAGCAAAAATATATAAAATTATTAATGAAGATAAACATTCAAATTCATATTTAAAACAATTAGCAAATCAAATGACTGAAGAACTTGATCAAATAGAAGAATTAACAGATCGTCGATCAACTGTCACTAGTATAACATCATCGATTTCGACTATTGAAAACAAACCAGTTAGAATTGAGACTTTCATTTTTTTTTATTTAAATTATTTTTTTTAGTCACGCGTACTGAGTCATTCATTGAAACTGCAACACATGGAGATTCAACAATTAAGAATAGCACTCGAAAGAGAAATTGAAGTTAGACAACAAGTAGAAGAAAAATTAAAACGATCGGAAGCAAAAATTATTTGCAAAATTGAGTTAGTGTTCATTGACTTTTTTTAATCACTTTTCTATTGATTATAATTATTCAAACAGTGAAATTAATCATTTGAAACAAGAAAATGAACTAATCAAAAAACAATTAGTTGATGAACAAGTAAAACATTTATCAATAACAACTATTCCAGGTAGATTATACATATTAAAGTTCCTCTTAAAATCGATTTAGAGTTAGATAAATTCAAATCAGATGAAGTCTTCAGAATATGTTGGAGAATGGTTGGTGAAGGAAAAGGAAGAAATCTTCGGTTTTAGAGAAGTTTTTGAGATACTGAACTTGTTACTCTGTTCATTTACTTCAAAAATAAGAATTTGAAAAAGTTATATATATATATACGATGAACACCCAAAGTCATGCATTACCATTTTTTTTTCATAAGGATTCATATTCATCGAGATTGATATTTCACAATATAAAATTAGATATCTACATCTATTCTGTGCTAGAATTTAAACATTTTACTTACTTTTGTTCTCGAGATAAAAGTAACGTGAAAATTCCTTGAAATTTTTGATACATTTTTAGAAATAATCTATCATGCATAAAGATTAATACTGTTAGTATTTTCAACATTTTTCTTCTTTTTTTTCTACTTGATCGGTATACTTTTCTTCATCAAAAGATTCAATGTCAAATTCTCTACAAATCTATATATTATTTAATTTGAAGTTCTTGTATATATAATATGGGAGTCTGTGTGTGGATATGGCGTGTGAGTCTTTTCTTCATCAAACTTCTATTCATACCAACCTAACCGTCATCTATATCTACACTCAGTTGGGTTGAATGACTAAGAAGACTAGAATACAGAAAATAATAGTGTCTATTGTCAACGAGTATTTGTAATATTTATTGAGAGGACTATTTGTTTGTATGTCGACTTGATAACGATTTCTATATTTAATATGCATGAAGTTGATTTTTTTTCAGGTGACTAAAACAAAGTTCCATCACTATTTTTAAGAGTTTCCTAAATTTTTTCTAGGTGTGTGAGGTGTGAATATGGATCTAATGAGACAGTGGGTAACATGAATGGTGCACCCAGACAGTTGCTCTCCGAACACTTGCTCTCCAATGACACTTGCTCCCGAAACACTTGCTCCCCGAGCATTTGCTCCCAATGTCACTTGATATTGAGCTACGCCTTCTTTTGTTGACAAGTTAAAGATTATTGTTAAAGACTTAAAAACGGAGTGTGGATGTGAGTGGGATGCGGATGTGGGTATTCTATTGTCCATTTACACCCACAACCACAGTGTCGGTATTAGTTTCTGGTTCCGTTTCCAGAAACTCGGAACCGGCGATACATTTTGTTCTCGAAACCCGGTACATGTTCCGTTCTTGGGAACCTAGGAATTCATACTGACTTGATAGAGATTGAAAGAATAAGTATACCCATAAGTCTCAATATAATCAAAAACGCGTGGAAATGAATTTTCAGGCGGGTTCCTAGAACCTGAAACTCGGTACGGATTTCGTTTCCAGGAATCCGGGTCTCGGTTTGGATTGCGTTCCTAGAAACTCGGAACACAATGTGGGTTCTCATACCTGGGAACCCGTTCAGGATTCGCATTATTAGGTGCGGGAGCACGGACCGAGTTGGGGGTTCCGCGTTTCTAGAACCTAGAACGCGTTCCGTTCCCATGAGCCTGGAAGCCGGTAGGGGTTTCATTCCTAGAAACCTGGGATCTCATACCGACTTGATACAGATTGAAAGAATAAATATGTCGAAAAGTTTCAACACAATCAGAAATGCGTGAAAACAAATTTTCAAGTGGGTTTTAGGGTTCCCAAAACTCGGAACCCGGTGTAGGTTCCGTTCCTAGGAACCCGGAAACCCATATCGACTTGATACAGATTGAAGGAATAAGTACGTCCAATATTCTCAACATAATCAGAAAGGCGAGGAGATGAATCTTCAAATGAGTTTTGTTGCTTGAGAACGGACCCTTATGGAATGCGGAATCCCGATACCCCTAACCCACGCCCACATCCTTTAAAGCCTTTAACAGTTATCTTTAGCTTGTCAACAAAAAAAAGGCGTAGCTCAATACCAAGTGACACTGGGGAGCAAATGTTTGGGAAATAAGTCACATTGGGAAGCAAATGGCCGGGAAGCAACTGTCATCAGAGAGGAAGTGTCGCGGAAGCAACTGTCTGGGCTGCACCATTCAGGAATTTGAGACAGTGAGTTTGATATCATTGTGATTGAAGAGAACAGATATTCCTGCACCTTCATACAACGATATCCATATGCCATCTTCTTGAATATGAATTGTTTGAACAATGAGAATAAGTTTGATTTTTGTATAAAAGCCTCAACTACGATATATACCACAATGAAAGAGTAATAGCTTCTAAATGACTCTACTAAACTTGGATAAATCTATAACATGAAAAAAGAAATAGTTTGACGCAATATCTCATAAAATTCTTCAAATAATTTCATAGAGAAAGAGATTTATAATATCATATAAAACTGAATGTTGAAATGTCTGAAAAATGATAATTATAGAATCAGTCAGTATTTCATATACGGCAACAGTATTTTCAGAGCTTGGTCGGTTTGTAAGTTTTCTGGATTTTTTCAAGATTCATCTATCCCAGTCTTAAGATTTGAAAAGAATTCTTTTTTATTAACTACACAAATCAAAATGAGAACAGTCGTTCTTCTATGATAAATACAAGATGACAAAAGTTACAATCTTCAAAACAACTAGAAACAAATATATTTATGTTCCATATACAAGAATTAATTCGATTGATATATTGTTCGTTTTTATTAGACAAATCATCGACTACCGATGGTTCTAATTGTACATCAACTCATGAATTTTTAAGACCTATCACTAGTGAACCATCCGTTCTACAAGCGCCAGTGAGAAGATTAACTTGTGTTGGTTCATGAAAATATTTTTATTAAATTTTAGTCGGATAAGCCAAATATTAATCAAGGACTAACTCTACCTCAAGTAAAATAATTAAATTACGAATTTAATTTAAATAAATTGATTGTTATTTTTGTGTAGAACGAATTTCATGATTTTAGAATCAATAATTTTTCTTCGCCATATATTTGTCATCATTGTCACGATGTCTTAATTGGGCTTATGCGACAAGGATTTTTCTGTGAACGTAAGTCGATTTAATTCTAATTTTAATCTTCAAATAAACTTATGTTTTAGGTTGTGAGATAATATGTCATCCTGATTGTATAGAGAAAGTCAAAATGCCATGTGAACCGTCTAATAAAGATCCAGGTAAATTTTTTTATTGATTTTTCTTGTTTTTTATCTGTATGTTTGTAGATCAAGCTAATCTAGGCGTTCAACATATTGTTCAGGTATGTTCTATAAATATGAATCTTCTATTTTTAAATAGAATTAAAACAGATACCAAAAGCTGGTGGTATACGAAAAGGCTGGAATCAATGTCAAATATTATTTTTTCAAACAAAATTATTATTTTATGACTTATCAAATAATTCAAATGTAGCAAAGTCAGGACCATCTTTAATAATTGATCTTAATGATGATACATTTAATGTTTGTTCAATAACACCAGAAGATGCAATACATGCTAAAAAGAGAGATATACCAAACATTTTTAAGGTTTAGATTTTTTTTTGTTGATATTTCGATTTTTCAAAGTTTTATTTAGATTAGTGTAGAAAAATTATCATCACCAAAACAAGTGAAAGATCTATATGTATTAACCAATAATGAGTCAGAAAAAAATCAATATATTAGCATACTATACGATCTATCAATGAAATTCAATAGTCATACAAAGAATGGTTTAAGAGTTAGTCTACAAATTTTGTTCATAAAATATTTGTTAAATTAGTTTTTCTTAGCATTCTGAAAATTTTACTACAAAAGAAATATTTGATATAAGTTTACAAAAAATAATAGGAGCTCACATTCTTGGTAATATCTAATCAAAAATACAAAATGAAATATTTCAGTTTCTTTTAATTTTAGATTCCAACCGTTTCCTAATTTTTGGTGAAGAGGGTCTTTATTTACTCGATATCTTTGATAATAGTATAAATCCTCTATATTTGTTTTTTATTTATATTTGTTTATTGATTTCTTCTTAGAACCTACAAGATTATACAAAAAAATTATTCATCAATTATCTTTAATATCAGACAATCAATTATTAGTAATGCTATCTGGAAAGGAGCGCATAATACGTATAACACCACTTAAATGCTTACTTACTCAGTCGCAATCATCATGGGATGGCAAAATACTTGAAACAAAAAATGCAACAGCATTTACAGTAAATTCAACATCTCTAACTTTATGTGTTGCCATTAAAAATCGTCTTCTTCTTTATAAAATACATTCGAATCCTAGACCATATCCATATACACTTATACACGATTTGTATACAACTCAAACACCCACATATTTAGAACTATCGATATTAAAAATAAATAACAATGAAGAAGAAATACTCTGGTATGGTTATTCATCAATATTTATTGCACAACAGATTGATCAACAATGTCCCAGCTTTGCTTTGTTAAGAGATATTGATCTAACATTACAAGTTTTTCGTAAACTACCTATTGACATTTTGCGTGTTATACCTGTGACAAGTCAGTTATTGAATTTTGCTTTAAACAAAAAATCAAATTAATCCTATTCTTTAGGTTCATCATCTATCAATGAACTTTTACTTGTCTATAGTAAACTAGGTATTTATGTAAATTATTCAACAGGAATGCGAACACGTCATAGAGAATTAATGTGGGCAGCAGTACCAATCTCAACATCCTTCTCCGATCCACATTTACTTGTCTATACAAAAATATCTATTGATATTTATGATGTATCATTAGGAATATGGTTACAATCATTGCCATTATCAAATACATTTCCTTTAACATCAGACGGAACAATTTCTCTTTCTTATGATCCAGAACTTGTTAAACATCATGCAACATTAATTCACATAACACAACCAAATCGGTTAAAACAAGTTCTGAACATATCAGAAAGATCTTCAAGTACATTGATATCTGAGCCAACAAATTTTATACATCTTGAGCATCTAGGAAGAGATGAAGGTTTAAAAATACTATTACGTTCAACATACAATCAACAGCATGATAGAGTAAAATCGACCAAGAAAACACATTTATTGAGTTCACTGAATGATAATAGATCGCTGGCTACTATAAATTCACATAGATCAAGAGCACATACGTCTATACCACTTGATGACACTGCTGTCCGGTTGGTTTAGTCTTACAAAGATATATTTCTTTTTAATCTTTTGTTACTCTAGATCATCAATTTTATTAAAAGTAAGTATAAACGCAAGCACAACATGTGTTGCTATCAAATATATTTCGAATCGATTGTAGAGTAGGTGACCCTAATTATGAAGATAAAATAATTGCTGACCTATGTTGATTGACATAGTGCGCAACAATTGTATATTCCTTTAAAAGAATTCAAATATACGTAAATATATATATACGTATATGGACAATTTTCGAAGTATTTTATTTCGAATCATATAGCAACGAACTTTCAACGACAAGTAACAGTTGAGAAGTAGGAACTGTCTCTTCAATAGCGGTCGTCAGTTAAATTGTTGTCTCAGAAATAACGAGGGAATGAGTGAGGTATTACAGAGCACTAATTTTTCCGCTATTCTTCTCTAGAGAAAGTTCGTTGCAAATAATCTGAAAAAATACACCTAAACGATTGTCCACGCATAAAGATATGTTTAATTGAATGTAAAATAGTTGTGCACTGAGTCGAACAACACAGATCACTAGTTTGCTGTTATTTTTGGGTCATTTGCTCTTAAATTGATATGGCAAAACGAACATCTAATGACTTTCTTGGTATTCAGAATAAAATTCAAAGGCAAGTGACTATCGATGGTGACTCATCTTATACTCCTTCAATTGAAGATGAAGAGAGTAGTTATTGAGCTGTGAAGTGGTATTGATTTGGAAATTTTAATAATGACATAGGAGTTTGTCCTCTTGTCGATCCTGTTGAATAATCATAAATTAAATCTTTTTGTATCGTATGTATCGTTGAATATTTTAACATTGTATTGGTTGCTGTGTGATCACACTTAAAGATCAATTTTTTTTCTATAACTCATATTTAAATGTATGCTAAGGCTATATGAGTAAAAACAATGTTTATTTTTTTGTGAAACTATTTTTATGGATAAAATGTGCTTAATATTAACTCAATCACGAATTTGAACTTTATTAATATTTAAACTATTTTCTTATTTTAATTAAAAAGAAAACAACATGCATTTAATAGATTAGAAAATGATTGAAGACATGTCACTATATATGTAAGAGCAGTTAAAATAGCCACAACTATGACTTGCGAATGAGACACTACAGATTTCAATAATTGATTTTTCTTTAAGATATATCTAGCCGCAAATAACAATCATGCAATGACAGTATGTCACATTATTGTGTACAATTATTTTTTATAAGACGTAATTGATCATATACAGGATATATTGATATGAAGTTGTGACTTTGAAATGAAAATAATATTCATACTAACGCCTGCAGTTTTAATCAAAATGATTTCAGTTGCTTCACAGTCAACGAATATCTATTTTGAACATTCTTATGTTAGGTTTCAATGAAATACAAACTTTAATAAATCAATTCTCAATTCAAATAGAACTGTGTATACTGAAATAAAATGTATCGCATGTGTCATATTTTACGACACGTTTTGTTCAGCGACGGCGCGACACATTCTGAAGCTGTGGTTTGAATGTATTATGCAGCGCATTTTTCATTGTTTTTTCTGTAAAAGTAATTTATGATCTTTTTTTCAATTTTTTCCATTTAATTATTCATATACTGAAAGCTGAAGCAGGTCAGATCTTGAGATCTGTCTGGCCTCGAGTTGATCCAATCTGCATCAGATTGCTCCTGGATTATCCTTTCTCAATTACGGATCGAGATCGGCATGTGCTCGACTGGTAAATAAACGAGAAATAGTCTAGAATAAAAAAAGAATATGAAAATATATCAGTTTCATATACTCAGGCAAGTTGTCTTTATGAGAATGTTTGCGAAAAAAAAGGTGGGCGCATAGGCAACAGACAGAACGTGATAAATCCATATACGACACATTCTGATTGCGATACATTTTCACGATTGAACGTACGACACTATAACTTGCGACACATTTTATTTTAGTATGTAATGAAAGTTCCGTTTAAATTCTTTATTGCGACATATTGTTGACTGAGCAATTATTCATAAGCTCATGTCAGGTTCATCTTGCGGTATTTCATACCTTTTTTATAATGACATATAACGTCCTAAGAGCAACAATAATCACAAATAATACAATTAACTACAAGACAAATAATATTTAAAAAAATTAATTATTTGTTTAAGAATGATAATTTCAAGTTTCAAATATCTCAGGACCGCAACAATATCTTGTCAAACGATTGGCACGTAAATTAATCAAACAATTGCCTTTATCACATATATAAAAACTAGCCAAATTAGCGACTATCGATTGAGTAGCTGCTGTGGGAATCCGTTGTGAGTAACGAGAAATGACTGTTATGTGTCCATTAGTTTTTGATGATTTTATTTTTTCTATGTTTCTATCTAGGCTTTTGTCACTGTAGGCCTGACAACACTGACAAGAATTGATGAATGGTAACTTCAAAACTATCTAGAGTTGCATGTCATTTATGAACTATAGATAGTGTCATTCCTTACAACATAAACTCATTAGAAAACGTGGTTACTCTCATGAAGAGCAATGTCGTAAAGTAAGACACCGTTTTCAATAGCATGGAAGACTATCTTCCAATGACATTTCACAACGTTAAAAAATTGATTAGATAATTCTAACTTTTTGTATTTTAATTTTAAACAAATAAAACTAAACATAACTTGACATTTTGTTTTTCGTTGAAAGTAACTATTGCATCGAAGTATTAAAAAATCATTTAACTGTCATTGTTGCCTTAAAAATAGCCAATTGTTGTCTTAAGTTGTCTTTTTATTGCACTTGAATTTTCTCCTTGACCGACTCTATTGGACATATCACATAGTATGCAATCGAGACTGTAATCACCAATATTCTGAAAATAATTGAGCATGTCTTGGAATTTTTTACGCACAGGTTCGTTTCGCCATCGATGATAGCTTTCATACAATGTTCTGTTCATTGCAATACTTTTTACATGTATAGCAGCATCTTGTGGCGTTTTAAATTTTCTTAAATCAATAATACAGTTAGTCTTGCATGGTAACCAATCTTCAACATTTGGTGCACCAAGATAAATAGGCACACTTCCAGCCACCAATGGATGCCATAATTTTTCCGTTATGTAATCATAACTAAGACTGTTCTCAATAGCAATTGTGAATAAATATTCACTTGATAATATTAACTTTCCTGCTTCCCAATTGTAACTACCACGGTCTTTTAAGTCTCTATTGATCGAACGTTGAATTTCAACTATATGTTCTGGTAAACTGCGAATATTATTGCCACAAGTACCATAATTATCTACATCTATGTATTTCATCAATTCATGCATGTATTCCGTACGCCTTGACTTTGTCTTGCAATTGCTGTTCATCCATAAAATTGGAGCTCTTACATGCGATATATTGCTTTTCTCTTTTGGTGTAGACGAGAGCTAACAAAGAAATAATATTGATAATTACAATTGTTTTCGATTTTTTCAGTGAAAAAAAAGTTTCTTGCTAAATTTTTTCTCTAAGCAATCGCCTTCTACTAAATAGCTCCTAATTAAAACTGATTTTCAGTTTAAATAAACGTTATTGAAATTAAATACTTGCTATATTTTTCTTATTGAAGCCTCGGTCGATGCTACTCGATGCCACTTATCGACTGATTCTAAACATTTTCGTGAGTTTCTTCAAGCGGACATGTATTGACTCAAGATCTTTACAATCAGGTGCAGACGTTTTCTGCAGAAGGGCACAAGACAATATAGAAAAGCAATCCTAAATACCGCATAGAATTTCAATGAACAGAAAGATATTTCAATACAGTGTGAATATAGAATTGAATATTTTCCCTTCATTAATTCCAAAAATGAACCCTTTCAAGAATTCCTTTCAGTAATTTAGAGTGACTAATGAATCTCAATCCTAATGCAATTGAAATGAATTCAGCCCGAAAGTTAAGTACTGATACCATAAAATACAACATTCTCGATAGATTTCGTCGATATGTGTCTCTTTAAAAGAACGCATGATATTATTTTATAACATAAAAACTGTCAAATGGCACGAAAAATATTCTTACTCAACTACAAAATCAAAGACGTAGTACAATAGTTTTGTGACTAACAAATTTTAAAAACTGCAATAACTTCTTCCTTCTAATAAGAAATCAAATTTTCAAAATTTATCTATAGTAATAATGTATTGGGCTCTATCAACTTGGTTACTTATTTGAAAACTACCCAATATCGATAAGATCTTGACGAACAGGAGTTATCAATTCTTTTTGGGTTTTCGTTTCCAGAACATGATCTTAAAGATATTCACCTTCCAAGTCAACAGATGTAACATTTCAAATTCTGTCAAATGTTTTTCTTGATAATGTTTGATTGATTCTCGAACTGACTGTTGAAGTTAAAAATTTTCATTCACATAAAACTGTGTCGGCACTAGATAATTAGATACATTTTGTGTACGTTTTCAAGATCCTAAAAACTAAGTGAAATTTCGATATTCTATTGAGTCCTGTATTCTTACCCGACATTACTCGTTGGCTAGATTCAGATGATAGAAACCTTTATAAGTATGATTAACGTACCGAAAGCTATACCTATGTAGCACTTCATATAGAAAAAGGTTTAGTGTGTAGTTTAATAATGGTTTCAGTAATTGAAACGAATTCGAAATCCTTTTTAGGCTGCATGAAGTATACTAAGCCTTTAAAGACACTTTAGGATTTTACAAGATTTTTTTGGTTTTACAGATTCGACGCACACACAGATGGCGTTTCAATTTCTCTAAACTCTTGAACTTCCATTTTGTTTCTATATTTTAGTGCACTTGAGTAGAATATCAGCATTGTTTTCACAAAAAGAATAGACTGTTAGTTAGAATTCAGTACCTCTAAAGTGGTGCTTCTGTCATACGTTGTACTTTTAATGCTAACAATGAACGGTGCATAATTGTTCAAAAAGGAATACAGTACTAGCAGCTATAGAAAGTTCTAAAACCTCTAGCA